TATGTTATATTCCGGTGAAACCCTGACTCTTGCGGGAAGATAACAGTGAAAACACTAATCTTCTTGGCTTGGTGTCACATTAAGTATACAAACAAAGAACAGAAAGAGACCAGAAGAGATATGAAGGTTCTAAATATAAAACAGGTCCTCACTGAGCACAGCCTGCTGAACATAAAACGCAGTGGCTGCTGTTGTCTAGAAAGAATTGATGAAGGCCTACAACCTTTGTGAATAAATTTGGCAGGAAATATATTTGCTATCTTGGCCGACTTTAATTTTCATCCATGCTGGAAGCAAACCATGTGGCTTCCTTAAATACAGTAATGAAGCTTTGAAACATGTTTCTCTAGTAAAGTAAAGTAAGAGAACGGATGTGTGTTTTCCTATCAAGCCTAAGGACTTGGTGTTTCCCAACATCAAAATGAATGCATAAAAATGATTAGCTGCTGCTGCAGGTCTGAATGCGTATGAACCAGTTCTTCTACCGTTCTTTGTATATTGCAAAGAAATGTATTAAAATGATTATAGTTTAAATATTTTCAAAGGTCACCCTTGAAATGGAACTTATGGAGACTATAAACTATACTGAGTATTGTCTGAAAACTCATCATGGCTTCTTATAAATATTCATGCTAAACTAGTAACTTTTATGGGGATATGAAATGTAATTAGCTTTGCAATAGCTGCCATAGGTATGTAACAAAACAAGCATTTAAAAAAAAAAACATTTTTATGCTTGCTGGAAACTAAATGAATAGATTACATAGCAGAGAATGTCACAGCACAAAAAGAAAGGCAGGATGAGGACTAGAAATTATACTAAACACACATGCTAAATAGAAAGAAAAAGAAAGAAAGAAAAAGAAAGAAAGAAAAAGAAAGAAAGAAAGAAAGAAAAAATACATAGCATCTATATGCTGCATATACATTTTTACAGTGATTATAGGCATCCATGAATGATTGGCACACCTTGCCTTGGTACTCTTGTTACATTTTCTTACATTAGCCCTTATGTAAGGGCATTGCGCTGCCTCTTTATGATACAGCATAGTAGTTGCACGCTGCTAGTATCTCACTACATAGAGGCAGAGAACTTTTGACTGCAGATGGGTCTTGGAGGATCTCATGTAAAATGTTTGTTATGCTAATAACCAGACCTATATCAGTATGAACAGTCTATTCTAGGCACCTTAGATAGCTTAGATAGAAGAAGAGCACTATATTCCCAAACTTACATTAAAGGGTCAGTCCACTCAAAGCTGATATTTCACCTTTACACAGATACGGGAAAATAAAACCATCTGGCAATTTCTTACATCTCTCATGAACTCTGTCTGTGGTTAAATTTCTGCACTTGGGTTCCTAGGACTGCACACTTGCTGTAGTGATCAAGACAGTTTCCCCCTCTTCTAATTTGACTTTTTTAAATCTATTTTAGATTATAGGGAATAGAACAGGAAGTGATGGGGCACATACAGGTGGGCAGGAGCACCAAAAAGTCTTAGGTGGACAAAGACAGAGTTGGAAATTACAACAAGGCAAACTGACCCTTTACCAGGGAGACAAAAGTTTGCTTTGTGCAGTATGACATTTTGGGACTGTTAAAAGATTAAAAAGAAGAAACACAGGTAATGTGCTTCTGAAACCTTCCTGCTGAGCTACACTGTCTGGGAGGGGGAATATGTGAGTCTCACATGAAGGAGGTTTTGGCTAAGTCAAGGAAGGTAAAGAAGGGGTTTTTTTGGTTTACTTTACGAGGCTTGAACATCACATAGTAACTGGATTTAGAACTTGTTTAGACTGTCATACAGGAGCCTTTAGTTATACTGTAAAACTGCAAGTCAAAACAATCAAAGAATGTGGGGGTGTGATGGTCAGCCTTACTGCCTACTAGGGAGTATTTGAGGTTTGGAAGGGTAGGGTAGGCTTAACTCTGTCTGGAAAAGCTTTCACTTTGATCATACATGTTTCTGTCATGCGCAGAATCCAGAGCTGTGTCAGGTTTATTTTTAAAAATACACCTCTGACTGTGGAATATTTATCTGGGCCACCTCCATGAGATCTATCATGTTAAAGCGGCACTCCTGGTAGATATAAAGGCACAAATGAATGCATTTGTGTTTTCATTACTACAATCTTAAATTGAATGCAAGCGGAGTAAGGACATTTATTTTATTTGGTATCAGCCTCTTGTAGTTCCTGTACAGTTAAACTCAGACTGGAGGAGCGAGAAGCAACAGAGGGAGGCAATTGGTGATTCTGCAACACAAGGAACATGCTAATAGGAGGAGATCGCAGAGTGACAGAGAGATGAGCTCATCAGTTTGCTTTTTTTCCTTTCATTCTATAGTCACAGGCTAGGGGTGGGGCGAAGAACAGTGTTACTGAATTACAACAGAGAAAAATTAGATATCCTGCCCTGCCAGACTAGGCTGTGCTCCTTGGCAGAACAGTGTATATCTCAGAACTGGGTAGACAGAAATACAAATCCTTTGTCTTGTAAATTGCTCCCATTTATTTATTTAGCTGTTTGCCTGGAATTCAGTGTTAACTGTTACTATTCATTGAATACATTTAAAGACACAATAAACGCAACATATAACTTATTTTCCTAGGTCTATATTAGTCTGAAATATAGGTCTAAAATTATCTAAGCAAAAGTAAATATTCAATTCCCAATGCATTTACAAAAAGCCATGCACACTTTAATCATTCAAGTACTTCGGGCTATTGAAACTACTTGGTGTGAATAACAAACTGTTGCAGAATGGCATTGAATGGTCTCTTGCAGCCAAGAGTAATTGTTCTCTATTCATATCACTACCTAATGCATACAATACTATGCCATTTCACGTATGGAGTAGGTGGGGGGATTTTACAGCCAACATTTCTCATGAAAGGAATGTGTGACAGTAATTATACTGTACATTGCATTTCAGCTTTTACTTAGGGTTTAGAATTAAAGATAGCAGAGAACCAAAGTGACTGATCCTGAAAAAAAAACTGCATTTGGTTTATGCTAGAAATTATTATTAATCATCATTTTCAAAATGATGCTGTTTCTAGAACTAAAGACTGGGTCAAATCTAACTATAACCTTATTTGGTCTGGTAAATAGCCAAATAAGACTGGTTTGTTATATCTGGTTAATGAATACAAAAAAATAGCTGATAATCCACAAATTTTGTCAGCTGATAACGTCCTGTACTCTTTCTTATCCATTACATTTTTTCCAGCTATCTCTGAGGATTGCAGAACACCTCCACCTCAATGTTATGAAAAAGAGGGGAGGTGTTCTATATTCCTGTCCTAGAGTTACAATGCTGCTTTTATGAAGATACAGTATGGTTAGTGTTTTTACCTTAGGACAGGAAGTGTATTACTGGCAGGATCACTAGGTGAAAATAAAGGAAAACAAAGCCAGTAAAAAAATGAAAGCAGTCAACACATAGGGGTCTATTCACAAAGCAACCGAAGGATCTAGCCGTAGCCTCAGCTGATCCTTCGGCTAGCTTCGGCCCCAGGACCCCTTCGGTTCAGTAGAACCGAAGGGCTGCTGTACGGGTGGCCGGCTGCTTCTGACCGAAGCTGGCCGAGCGGCCGGCTGCTTCTGACAGCTGGACGGAGCCAGCCGTGATGATATGGCTGGCTCCGGCCACTTGCAGAGAGCTCTCCAGACAGCCTAACTTTCCCGGGCGCTCCGGGAGTCTCCCACCCCCGGCCGCCCAGGAAAGAAACACTGCTTTTTCTTTTTTATTCTGACACGGAGCCGTTGGCTGGCATCAGAATAATAAAAAAAAAAATTAACCATAGGAATGCCCTGCTAGATTCCTATTGGCTTTTTCAATTTGCAATAGCCAATAGCAAACTAGCTATTGCACCCGCCCACTGCTGCAGTTCTCCATCAGGTCCCCACTAGTGATTGACAGCAGCAGAGGGCGGGTGCAATAGCTAGTTTGCTATTGCAAATTTAAATAGCCAATAGCAATCTAGCAACGCATTCCTATGGCGAAAATGTTATTTTTTTCTTATTTTTTTTGACGGCAGCAGAAACGCAATAGAAAACAGTTGGGCAGAGCCAGCTGTCACTGCTAGCTCTGCACAATCGTTTTCTATTTATTTTTTTGTACTTTTTAAACTATTTTTCTGTTCTGCTCAGTCCCACAGAGGGAGCGAGCAGAACAGCCGAGCCGAATGGCGGTTGAGTCGAATTCCTTCTGCACTTTGGGTCGCCCGAACATGTTAAGCATGTTCGGCCGACCCGAAGCCACCCGATGTACTTCAGCCGTACATGCCTGAAGTGAATAGCCGGACAGCGTTCGGCTCACTTCACTTCAGGTCGGTCATTCACTCAGCTGCCTGCGGCAGCTGAGTGAATAGACCCCATAGGCTGCCTGGGCAAAAGGAAGTCACCACCTGTATATAGCTAAGCAAATAGGTAAGAGCTATAGGGCTTGCTTTAGTTGGTCAGGTCTAAGTTCAGCAACGTTGCCAACAAATGAGGTCAGCTGCCTACCTGAATATACTAAATGACCAGGTTTTTCCCTCAATGGATTTTTTCTTCTCTAATGGCATGGTCAGGATTGGTCGGGCTCAAATTGTGAAAGAGTGATTCAGGGAGCATGAGACATAATTTTCACACAGGGATTGGCCACCACAGAGTCCAGACCTTATCCTGATTGAGAATCTTTTTACTTTACAAGATCATGAAATATTAATGCAACTCTGGATGGAAATAAATGTTGTGACATTGCATACACTTATCAAAACAATGCCATGTCAAATGTGTGACATAATCAAAGCTAAAGGTGGTCCAACAAAATATTAGAGTGTGTGACTTCCCTTTCTGGCCAAGCAGTGCATAAGCTGTGCATGTAAGCTGCAATATGTTAAATGTTTGTTCTTGGGTGTAGAAATTATTTAAGTAACTGACTTTCTGTATTTCTTTAGCCTGCAAGGAACACACGTTTAATAAAGCAAAGTAGTTTAAATGTACTCACCAGTCACTCTTTGACTAACATATCTTGGAGAAGTGCAGCGGTCTATGATATGGTTGCTGTACTTAGTCTGGGCCTTTAGTACAATATCTTCAACAACAGTTTCATCTGCAAAGCTGCTTAAGCTGCTTTCTGGTCTCCAGTAGTCATTACCTAAATGGAAAGCAAACAAGAAAACACTGTATGTATCAGTGATTCACAGAGAACTGTATAATATATGACATGTGCCAGAAGAGCTCAATAAGAATGTTGTGGTAGTTTATATCATCGGTTATGTAGCTTAAATAGTTTTCTCTAAAAACACTTTAGTGGTTCAAAATAGCCTTCTCAAACATGGACATTTTTTACATGCTCCTAAATAATTATTTAATATAGCATTCTAGAGAGCAAATTATTGGCTTCAATAATACGGTAATGTTAGCACAAAATCACAGTAAGAGTATGGTGCAGCCCTAAACAGTGCTAGAGTGTCTAGTGGATTTTTCCAGTTATCCTAAGTGCTGCAGGCAGAGTGTAAGGTAATATTTTTAACTTTCCTGTGTGTGTGAGTGTGTATGTGGGCAGTAATGATGTGGGCTTTTTATATGGGGGGACGACAGGTGTCTAAATAATAAGTGTCCCCCTCACCTAGACCTCACGCCTCTTTGTACACTAACCATCTGCGTTAAAAACAAAAGTTTTGTCAAGGCTCCACTGTGTAGTGTGGTATTAACTCTAATCTATAAAATGCTCCATGTTGGAGCATAAATAGCAATGGACAAATTGAGTGCAGGTATGCCTGAAGGCAGCCCATGCCTCCTTAAAGGCACAGGGACACACCGGAAGCCCATCACATCACAATAGCAGCTGAAGCCTCCAGTGTGCCCCCATACCAAATCCAGCAAACAAAACTTTGTGCTGTGTGTCCCATGTTTGCTCTGTATCCCCACCCTCTTCATTTCTTGTCAGTGCAATCACTCCAGAGTTGGTGAACTCAAGTGCCAAGCCTTTTTATGGCCATAAGTAGAACTGATTTTGGAAAGTTGTGATTGCATGGATACCAAGGCTGTGATATGCATCTCTGAAGCTGTTATTTTCCTTAGGTTTATACTAGGGATGCACAGATACTTTTTGAGTACCAGTGCCGATACTTGGCATTTTCATGAGAACTACCAGGGTTGCAGCGGTTGCAGCTGGGACCTGGCTCTGGCACTCCACCACTGTCCTGAAACCATTAGTCTGTATTGATTTAGAAAAACTGTCACATGACAATAAACAAAAATGTATTAGTACTCATACTTGTAAGTACTCGGCAAGTACCAGTACTCGCAAAAGTGGTATCTGTGCATCCCTTTATTTATATTTATAGAAACAAAATCGTACATTAAAACAGAGTTGTACAAATCCCAGGAGCTTCGTGTGCTCCTTACAAATGACAGCTGCCTCCTAATTTTTGAATTTTTCTCTAGTCTAGTCTTGGAGCTCAAAAGTATCGGTACATGTACTCGTACTTGTATCGAGTACTGTACTTGGTATCTGTGCAACCCTAGTTTATACACCTAGGGTATATCCTTTTTTGCTATACAAGGCCAGAATAGGTTTAGCAAATAATGATGTTTCTTCAGGCAGGTGAAAGAAAAGTTTGCTGTACTATAAAGAATAATTGCATATAATCCATAAAAAGTCTTCATATTTGATTAACACTAGTCATGACCTTGGAGTAAATAGACAGCTAGAACACTTGGAAGTGTACATTGATATTTGATTACAACCACTGGTCTGAGAGAATCCATGTTGTAGGAAGAACACTACCAATTTGTGAGATATCTAAAGTCTATTGATTTCTCTGAGGTGAAATAACTTGTAAGAATAGATGTGGATAATTTATACACATATATTATTCATAGTGAACAATTGTAATCTATTCGACACAAGTTTTTCCAGAAGCATGACTTAAGGAAAGAGTTTCAGAAATTCTTTTTATTTTTGATAGACATCTGCCTGCCAACATTTTTAGATGTGCTGATCTTTTTATTTTACTACAAGCCTGATGGAAGCATCATATGCGTCTAGTCTGGCTAAAATTTTTAAGTCAGATTTTAAAAATGTACATATTCTTAACAACTCACTGTAATTTGATATCTGGTTAATGCTGCTATATAGCTGATTTGTCAATTTTGTTCACGGGCATCAATCTGGCTGAGGGGGAAGGGGGGAGAAGCCGGCGGCTGTTGATACCGCGATGCTGCGGCCGTGGTCTGGGTGCCAGCGTGATGGTGTTAGGCTTAACTGGAACAATCAATGTGTGTCCAGTGCTGGCAGAACTAAAAGGCACGAGGCTGGGTCTGTGTGGAACGAGGAAATCAGCCCCAGCCTCAGCCCTGATTTCCTCGTTCCACACAGACCCACACAAGGTCACAAGGTCACAGTCAAGACACTACAGACACCGCAACCATCCACCTCTACCCCTCGCTACTGATCCTGCAAACACCCCTCACCCAAGGCAAGCAAAGCAAAGAATACTTCACCTTCACCTCCTCGCCAACTTCCATTAACAAGACTTTGGAGAACAGACATCACTCCTGGCAAGCTGGAACCCGTGCGACACCAGCATCATCAAATTCCACCCTCCGTCGATGACCACGTAATATCCTTTACCTAAGGGTAAGTCCCTAGATTTTTTCTGTTTTCCTCCTTGGTCTTTTTTTACACGCCATTTCATCCACCTCCGCGAACACAATTTTATGGGTTTTTTTTGGGACCACACTCGAACTAATTGGACTAACCACGGAAGATTGGGAACTTATATTAGCTCCTAGTTTTCCAGCCCCCCCCCCCCCTTACAAGTTTCTGCGAAAAACCGCGCTGTTCCCTGCTCGGCTTGCAGCGCTTCTCCCTTCCCTTCTCTGTTTGTCAATTTTGTAAGAATGGTGAGCCATAGGGGTGAGCCATAGGGGTTGATTTACTAGAGTAGAACATCTTCACATTGCAGGGGAATTTTTTAAATCAGCTTAGTGAATGTGGTGAAAATTCACTTTGCAAAGAATACCCAATCATGTGTAAGGAAAAAACAGTATTTTTCAATACAAACTAAAATGAGAGCAGCTTAAGACTGCAAGTTTCTTGAGGGCAGGGACTGATGTAAATGAATAGTATGTAAAGAGCTGCGCAAACTGACAACACCTTTTAAATGCATGCACTAAATAAATAATAAAACTACTTGACAAAACTTTTACATCTCATATTTTCCCACTTCCAGGCATGAAAATGGCATAAGAAGGACGATAAAAGGTGGAAATTGATGTCTTCACATGGAGAAAGCAAGCATTGAGGTTTTATATTCAACTACAATTCCAAGAATGAAAATGTGTTAAAATATTATGTTAATGGGGATGTTTAGGCAGTTTTATTGAAGTACACTTGTTTTGCTACTACAAAATGAGTCACATACTGAGATATGTTATTTAAATGTACAACAGTTATAAAGCTAGCATCCATCGAAGGAGCGGCTTTAGAATGCCAGATGAACTGCCAACTTTTAAGCTTAGCTTCAATTCAGCTCCAGACGTTTAGCTGCAGCAACTGATCTAAACAAAAAAAGAGCCAGCACAAAACCTTGCCAAATAATGCGCTTTCACATGGGCATTCCGATCAGGTCTGTCTGTCAGTTTTTCAGGTGGATCTGATCGGGAGCTAAATGTTAGTCTATGGGCAGCCGGATCTAAACAGATGTGTGTCAGTTTACATCCAAAACAAATGAAACAGAGTTCCGTTTTGGTGAACCTGATCATGGCAGAACAGGGGTAATCTAATGTAAACAGACATGTATCTGACTCCTGAAAGACCAACAGGTGTCTCATCATTTCAGTTTTTGCAAGATGGAGGAAAAAACTGGATTGACATGGATATTACAACGGTGACATCCATTCGGAACTGCTCTTACTAGCAGGGGAGCAGTGCATGTAACGCCTCTCCTTAAAAACTGAAGGCTTTGCAAGACTGAAGATTTTCCATTCCTCAGTACAATGTACTGCATATACAAGGTTACTTTGCTTGTGTTTGGGTGTTGGGGCTATTTGATGCAATGTTTGTTAAAGATCCTTCTGAGTTTTGCAACACTTCAACTACATGTGGGGTGACCATGTTACTCTGCATGTTCTGCTTCTCCCCTCCTCTCCTGTTCGATGGTTCCGTGTTTTTGCTTGACCTTGTGAACTTTTTAGCAAAAGACCAGTCTGGGTAGCCACAACCTTTTAAAGCACTCCGTGTTCTTAATCTATAGATTTTGGTGGGAATTTATCTAAACCCTCATTGTGTTTGTGGCTACCATCTCAGCCCAATGTTGCAGAGTTCTAATAACCCTTAGCTTGTGTTCCAGTGATTAGTAGGAGTTAAAAAGCAGATACTGGTTTGTGTGGGTGGGTTTTCTGTAAAAATCAAAGTCCAAGTCACCACTCCTTCTTAACATCTATCACCCAGTCCAAAAAAGGTTGATTTGTTTTTCTGTGCCTCTATCCCATGTAAACTCGATTTTCATGTCTTCTACCTTTGCAGGGTGATTGGATTAAGGTACATGCGTGGATATAACTGGTTGTGTATTTTCCTAACACTTAACAGAACTGAATAAGTAGCTTGGCTAAGCTATGACATTTCTTCTCAACGTTACAGAACAAATGTAGTTGAATGTGACTAACTACTACTAGATATACCATGACATGGATAAATGAGAAAATTTACAAGACATATTCATGATACACAGTTCTATTATAAATCCTTCTTACAGCTAGACAATTTAGATAACTAGTCCTTTGTGCAAGCTTTAATACCATGAACAAAATAAATCCATATACCTTTCCCTCCACCTTCTTGTTTATTAAACTATCAGTCATAAACAGTTATCATATTGTATAATGTGCAGTAACAACACATTTACTTACATCTACTGACAAGACATTCATCTTGGACTTAGCACATGTTATATAAAGGACACAGTTGTAGGAGTACATTCAATTTGAAGATATCATGCCCCACAGCATCAGTAATTACCCTTCACTCCACATTGTTTCATCCAACATCTGTAAGGTAAGTAATGAACCCGTCTAGCAAAAGGCAGCATTGTCACACTGTCAGTCTAGGTCTAACTGAATACATTGTTGTAAGTATATAGAGGAGCT